CCTCTGAAGGGTACACTCTAAATTCATGAAAGAGGAGAAGAAAGGAAAAAAATGTCCTCAAAGTCAGATTCATTTGAATATATGAATAATTTAGTGCACCAAAAGATTTGGGGCCCCTTAAATTGCAAATAAAAAAAAAAAAAGCCCTTACTCTTCAGACATTCATAATTCATACTGCAGTTCAGGCATGGAGGGATATTGGATGCACAAGTTAGCCATAGAAGGTATAGAGGATTAAAGGACAAAAGCTGGAATGTAACACTTAAGTCAGTTTTTGTCTTTCTACATTTCATCCTTTCAGTGAATATTACTTTCTCCCCCTCTCTCTCACTGCCTTCCTCTCTGATTCACTCAATAGTTAATGAATTGGGGGGGGGGGACGGCAGCAAACCCGAAAAAGTAAACAATTAAACTTTCATCAAAGGTTTTGTTGCATCATTATGGTTATACCACATGCTGTATTGTTACCCGCTGGTTATAGATTACTTAAACAGTCTCTATGTATGTGTGTGTGTGTGTGTGTGTGTGTGTGTGTGTGTGTGTGTGTGTGTGTGTGTGTGTGTGTGCGTGTGCGTGTGTGTGTGTGTGTGCGTGTGTGTGTGTGAGTTGTGGTATCCCGGTTTAAGCAGCATAATTATTCATCCATCATAAGAAACAGACAATAAGAGCTCTCAGTCTTGACATAACACCCCCCCTCCTCTCTCAAAGCTCATTTTCTTTTCATGCCCCTGGCTCATTAGAGTGATGGGCCTTTTAATGGAGGAGATTGGCATCACATTTCCACATCATATTCCTCCACAAAAGGTCCTTTGATCCACACGAGGATCATTAAATAAAGCATTGTTATAGTCAAAAGACTGGGTGACAAATTTGACCTTCAGACAATGAGAAATATAGATAGATTTTTTTAGATCTTCTATTATATTTTGTATTTTGTAACATTTTATTTGTGATATTCTCTGTTCTCTGTTTTGCACTGCTTTGCCCTATTGCTGCTATGCCAACCTGAATTTCTCCTAAGGGGGATCAATAAAGGAATATCTTATCTTATCTCTTATCTTATTCACTAATAGATTCACTAATAGATTCTTTTTAACTTGTGATCACTTCTCCCCATATTTGACGTAGTTTGTTGGTGGAGTTCTGAGACGCTTTCCCTCCACATGTTTAATTATTTTGCAATTTGTTTTCTTCACTGATGCCCCTGCAGTTTGCCACAGATCGGTTGGCCTCTTTAGAGTTCTGCTAGTCTAATGTTGCTTTGAAAAAACTTGGTATGAGAGTGCTGACTGCCAGCCTTCTCTTAAAAACAATAAGTGCTGCTAATTGGCCCTCAACCTAACACGACCTACGTTTGCAGCAGTAAGACAGATAAAAGTTGCAATCAGTCAGTTGTGTTAATTACATTGTCATGGTAGTGAAATGATGGGGAGTGGAGGATTGTGGAAAAAACTGAGAACAGGATGATATATCAGAGGACATCACAATACCTCTCCTGGCATTTAAATGTGCAGACAGTATCTGAATATCACACAACAGCGCAACGTATAGGTTTGATTACAATTGTTAAATTAAGACTGAATAAGGATGAGTTTATGAGCTTCTTTTCCTGCAAAAGGTGACTGGAAAATCCTCGTTCAACATGGATAAACCTCAGCCGATTGGGTTGTCTTTTCCGCCTCTTTATCCTCCGAGTTAGTAGCCATTTCTGCTGTTTTTGAACTAACGCTGAGAATATTTTCTGCACTCAAGGTGAGAGACAATCTGAGCTGTGATCCCTCCCAACAGGGGTAACACCACTGGATGAGGCTGCTGCTGAGAGATGAGACGTCCATCCTCGCCCGGGAGGACTCTCCAGGATGGCGCAGTATTTTAGAGGTGATGCTCAAACCCCCAGCCCATCTGGTCCAAGCCTGTCACCAGCAATACATCACGTTAATGAAATGGCAGCAACCCAGTGCTATCTGTCATAAGCAATCTGCATCTGCTTAGGGACCGAACGGAAATGAGGAAGGGAGATAAAAAGACAGAGGAAGACGCAGAGACTTTGTGTCCCTCGTGCAGTTGTCATGTTTGTGTTTCTGTGTGTAAGTATGAATGCATGTATGTGTGTGTGTTCAGTTCCTTCTCTCTGCACAAGTGAACAGATATTGATTTTATTTTCGAGAGGAGAAAATAGCCACAGCAGGCCACCTTATCTCCCATCTGTCCTGGACCAAATAGGTGAGGATATTTCATTGGTTCTGTGGTAGAACAAAGTTCCAATGCATCTTATCTGTCAGAGAGACAATTACTCTCTGTACCCGGTCTTTTTTCATCCACTTTTTGGTATTTGTTGTAACTGGTATTGATATCTATTTCAGCAGCAAACTGTGCAATTTTACACTAATGATAAAAGTGAATAATTGTGCAAATGTGCGCTAAACACCAGAAGAACAGAAGCTGCATAAGAAAAAGATTCAGAAATTGTCTTTATCGTCTCTCATTTTATGATCTCCAGATAACAGCACATATAATCTACATTTTGTTTCAATAAAATATGCTATTGAGTCATGATGTATGCACTAAATCTAGGCAATATTGTCTGTCCTGTACTGAAAATAAATTTTCCAGGTGTAGTTTTGGTATTTGCTTGAGCACGGAAAAAGATAAAGCTGTTCCCTCTGTTGAGGCATAACAATGTTTTCTGTAATCTTTGATTACTGCTTGATAATAAACTCTTGTGGAGAAAAGTGCCTCCTAATGTAGACAGCTCTTGATATTTGTTTTCCTAAGATAAATTAGCAAGATAGATTTCCTCAATAATGGATTGAAACCCTCATATATATATATATATATATATATATATATATATATATATATATATAGGCAAGAATTAAGATGCAGCTAAATCCAACTAAATGATCCAGAAAAGAGGGAATCTTTACATTTGATTTGATTAGAGGTGAAACATGCAGTTCTGGTCAAAGCAATGATAAATATACCAATAAAAAATGTAGTGTACAAAATGTGAAGGAGTCTTCCATCAAATACAGTGTCAGGAAAGTGTAGCATGATGGTTGGCTGAAGGTTCAAGAAGCAGACTTGTGGCCAAAAGGTTGCAAATTGGAATCCTTAATCCCCTGTTGCTCCAATGGAGCTGCTCAGCAGCAGCAGCAGCAGCAGCAGCAGCAGCAGCAGCAGCATGACAGGACTGTGGTTAATGCTCCTGGATCCTCCCAAGTTCTCATACTTGACTCTTTAGTTTAGTTGCTGTAGTTCTTGCTGTGAGTAAGATATAAAGATGATAATAATCATTGTAAGTATTTAATAATTATTTCAGGCAACTCTGCTTCGAAATATCCACTTGGTTTGCAGGCAAAGATACTATCTCACTTTGGTATTTTAATCAGCTGAATATTTCACTGCTTTGCACCATCTCCTTCCCTGAAGAGTTTGAATGAGCAAAGCCTCTGTAATTTGTAGAGGGAGATATAACAGGGTCACAATGTCACAGGGTCGGTTGAAAATGTATCCAAACGTATTCCTGGTATTTGACTTCTTGGGGTTGTGGCCTCAACATTAGACTCTGCGTCTATTTGGTTACGTAATCTGACAAGCCCTAAAAGGTTTATTTGACATACCAACATGTCAAATGAGATGTGTTAGTGTGTATGAAAAACACCAGACCCTTATTACTGAAGAGAAAGCCTGCCATCTCATGGACAATGTGGAACTTGCACCTCACTCAGGCAAAACATGATGCTTTCTATACAGACATTTTTTCTTCTCCCTTATTGTCCAATATGTATTTGGTATCTAAGATACCTTTATTGGTATCTAAGATACCAATAAAACTTGTGAGAAACGGTGGAAACACAGACAAATGCTCTGATGACACCCACATTTTGGTCAGCTGTGATATCTGAGGGCAGGTCATACCCGCCGTGTAATCTCTACTTGTTAATACTTACAATATAACACTGGTGTGTGAACACACAGGACAATATATCTCTGTGTTATCTATTGTGGATGACAGTGTCTTCCTGTATTATCTGTACCTATAATTGGGATAGAAAATCATTGCCACTCCTCTGACAAGGGATGCAACCACACAACAACAACAGTAACCAACTAGCACAGTAAATAATGTAGTATACACATTTTAACCCCAGCGGAGAACAAAACTGACAGAAAGGCATTAGGTGAGAAGCAGCGTTGCTTTCTTTCTTTCTTACTCACCCTCAACCAATGTTTATGTTTTTTTAGTGTATGTAAAAAAAAAATTAGGAGTAAGTTCTCATTTTAAAGAGAAAATCCAGAACTGTGAGGATGAAGAAATCCCAGTGAAGTCTATGATAACCTACTTTAATTATGATATCAAAATCTTGGAGCAGCTCCCAGTCATGGGAACAGGGAGTTAAACATTGACCACGCTCTAGATTTGTCAAACAGATATGTCAGAAATTTAAATATATAGCACTCCGCAAAAAGAAGCAGCTGTTTTGTGTCAGAAGGTTTTGCAGTTCAGGAGAGATGAGATGTTTTGAAATATCTTGACGAGAGCCAGAGGAAGTGTGAGGTTTTTCTAGTGCTGAGGTTGTAAACAAATGTCATGAATGTTATCCAATGGATAGCTGTTTAAAATTAGCTCCTGACAACATTTATTTTCTTTTTCTTCCAGCCAATAGATAAAAAAAAAATATTTATAAATATACTACTTGCATTCTACTTGAGGTAGTAAGGCAAAACCACAGTCAAGACAGAACCCTTTATTAATTTAATTTGGAGATGAACTAATTGTAGTTCAGGTAATCCAATAAGGGGTTCCTGACGCACGACGTCGTCAACTGTCAGCTGTTGCGTTCAGGCACGTGATTGGTCAGAGAGACGTTCGGAGGAAACAGCTGATTAGTTCACAAGGCAACCTGAAAAAAAACCAAAAAAAAAAACCTAACCAACTAACATCGGACATCCAGGAAGCTGCTTTAAGTCGCTTGTACGCAGCGAGAGGTCGCTGTTTGTCACCAAATAAGCAACAAATAAGAAAGTTACTGGTACTTACACCGACTGGGTCGTTAGTGGAATGACAGTTTCCACCTTTTTAACCTAACGTTAAACTGTTGAGTACGCTGATCCTGATTATGGTGAGTTTGCTGTTAGGATCAGATGAACCTGTTTTAGATCTGAAACCGACCGGGAAAGCATTGTTGTGCTCTGTGATACACTGAAGTGATGCCTTTAGTGTGCAACCTTGTTTTTTTCTGCCTCGTTTGTCTTAGCTTGTTTGTCTGTGATTGATGGCGATTGATAAATTCTTGTAACCATGGTGATGACACATTCAGTGCACCTCTGTGCAGAAGCCTTAAAGTCTTTTCCAATTGTGGGAACATTTTCCTCTATATTTCAGTAAAAGCTTACGAATTGTTTTTATTTTTCTATTTATTTATCTATTTTTGGACCTTTACCTGCAGATCTGCAACTACTTATCAATTAAAATGGTGTGAAAATGATGGGTGTTTTTCACAATTTTTTTAACGATTTACAAACAAAAAGCTGAATTATTAAAGGTCCAGTGTGTAACATTTAGCAGGATCTATTGGCAGAAATGGAATATAACATTCAGATGTATGTTTTCATTAGTGTATAATCCCCCAAAAAGAGAGAATTGTTGTGTTTTTGTTACCTTAGAATAAGCTGTTATTATTTCAGATGAATTGGGTCCTCTTCTATGGCATCTGCTATGTTGAACCGCCATGTTTCTATAGTAGCCCAGAATGGACAAACCAAACACTGACTCTATAAAGTCTATGCTCTAGATAGGGTCTTATTTTATCAGAGTGTCACGGCCACATGCTTGGAAGGAGACAGTGGTGGGGTCCAATTTCCATGAGCCTATGGAGTAAGTAATAAGGAATAAGGACTACCCTAGAGTCTGTGGGCCAGTATTTATGCTTCTGTGGCTAATAGTAATTTCATAATGATGGTTACTGCCTGAAGTCAAGCAGCAGGAGTTAAGTGGCAATGTGCAAATACTACTGGCCTGTTTTTGGGTGAGCTAAATATGCTAGACGTGTTACAGTTTATAAAACAAGGCTTTTATCTTTTACTGGACAGGCTGTTTTTTAAAAAAGGCAGATTTTTTCATTTGAATAGTTTTAGTAATGATTTATGTACCTGTTAAACTAAGCTTCTGTTATTTTGGCTTTCCTTTATACCGTGATAGTCACCTTTTATCACCTTAACTGTCCCCATCCCCTTGTTTAAAGATGAACTTCAGCACAAATGCCCACTGCGGTGGTCACACTAGCAAAGAAAATATTCCACCTTCAAGCAAAACAGATGCCCTGCAGTTCCAGCGGACCAAGCAGCGGACGGTGCTCGGTGTTTTGCCAGAAAATGAGCAGCGTGGTCGATCTCTCAGCCAGGTGAGTGAGAGAAGAACATTTACATTTCAACTTAATGCGGCCATCATGTTGTCCCATTTCTCTCCACAGGGAAGCCAATTTTCCAAACAAAGTTCGATCTCAGACAACTCCCAGTTCGCCTTCCTGGGCTGTCCCTCCAGTTCCAGCTATGATGTGTACGTCGAAGAGGCTTGTGAAGTTGTTCTTGCAGCTTCCGGTCAAGAAGTGGTCTCAAACAGCTATTACTTAGATACAGAAACCGCTGCTCTGCAAAATCAAGATTTGAGACTCCTGCTGGAACTGAGTTTGAGTGAGTTTGTTAAATACAAAAAACACCTAACACGTAACACTTGTTGCTCTTCTGTTCTTACCAAACTGCTGGTTACTCCTGTAGATTCATGCCAAGATGCTTCTATGCTGTCTGAACCAGATGAATCACTGACGTCAGAGGAGGTGCTGTGTGTTTTTGAGTATGCGGAGGACATTCACCGGCACTTGAGGGAGAGTGAAGTGCGAAATTATCTGAACTATGAGCACCAAATAATTTCTTTCATATAAATGTGTAGTAGTTATTAGCTTTGCTCCTTGGTTAGCTGGAAATACTTCAGGATAACTAGCTTTTGTTTCTGATGCTAGATGAGGTTCAGGCCGAGGCCAGGCTACTTGGAGCAACATCCAGAGATCACCAAGTGCATGCGAGTCATCCTGGTGGACTGGCTGGTGGAAGTCGTCCAGGAATACAAGCTTCGCTCTGAAACTCTGCACCTTGCTGTCAACTATTTGGACCGCTTTCTCTCTTGCACTGCATATGTAAGACGGGGAAAGTTGCAACTGGTTGGCACAGCTGCATTAATGATTGCTGCGTAAGCAAATGTTTGTGATTCTAAAGATCTGATACTTTTCCTGTCCCATCCAGTCATTGATTTGTAAAAAAAAAAAACCCTGACATCTGTTGATCTGTTGCCTTGTAGAAAATACGAGGAGATCTTCCCTCCTGAGCTGAATGAGTTTGTGTACACCACAGACAGCACCTACACGAAGAAGCAGTTGATCCGGATGGAGAATGTTTTCCTGAAAGTGCTGGCTTTCAAGATGGCAGCACCCACCGCAAACCAGTTCCTTCGCCTTTTCATTTCCATACACTCTGTCTGTACCATCACAGAGAACATTGCCCTGGTGAGAAAAATCTGTGACTCAAATGCCAGCCAGACCATGGGTTTATGCCCACTGCCTTTTGAGGTGACACTTTTCCATGTACCTTGATTTTATTTTCATTTGGCGATGTGTGTTTTTCTGCTTTTAGTATGTAGCAGAGTTAAGCCTGCTTGAAATTGATCCATTCGTACAGTACACCCCATCGACAGTGGCAGCAGGAGCCTACTGCCTAGCAACCTACACTGTAAACAAATCTCTCTGGGTAAGTCCCATAAGTCCCTGTTATAAGAATTTCAAAATATATTATCCAAAATATGACTTTTTAGGCATTTTATTTTTTTCATATTTTAGCCCGATTCCTTACATGCCTTTACCGGTTATACCATGGCTGATATTGTGCCCTGCCTGACTGACCTCCACAAGCTATACATCAGTGCAGAGAGTCGCCCACAGCAGGCCATCAGGGAAAAGTATAAGACCTCAAAGTAAGGCGCAGATTATAGTTTTTTTAAAATATATATATATATATATATATACACACAGTATATACATACACATACATTTATAAATACTTGTATAGGCCTTTTTGGATCTGGTTTGTTTGGGTTGTTAACGTATCCAGGACACAGATTTACATCACTAAATGAATGACTTTTATCTCTGCATTTACAGGCATTGTCATGTTTCAGTGATCACTCCACCTGCTGTTCTGCCTTTCCTATGAATCACTGCTCCACCCTTCTTCTGACGCTTCTGCCAAAACATAATTAGACTGTGAACAAAACAATCACAGCTGATTCTACCACCAAGCTCTTATATGCCATACCCCTCTGGACATCACCTTGAACATTTTTTTCTTATAGTTTATGCAAAGACAATAAATGATTAAAAAAACATACTTCATGATTGAAGAATTTTAATATTTGCAGGTGTTGACACAAAAGGATTTTAAAGCTGGTAAGTCATTATAATATAATATATACTTACTTGTGTAATATATACTTGTAACATGTTCAGAATGAAATCTTTAAATCATGAAATACATCTTTTAGATAAATAAATTCAATTCAATTTTTTTTGTGAGTTGTATTTTTTATATTGAATGGCCCAAGTGAGATGTAATGTCCCTCTATGAACAGGTTATGTGTGACTGAAAGGACTATTTACTACACTTTAAGGAGATGTGTTCGCTTTATGTCAGAGTCCTTTAAAAACATGTTGTATTTGTTAGTATAGTTAGTTAGTATTGTTACGCGCAACTTGTGGATTTTATTTTGAAAGTGTTGGCCGGAAGCCATTTTTGACGCTTTGTTGCTTTGACGCTCGTGTTTATCCGCTGGGGGTGCGACAGATTAAACTAGTGCGAGAAGTGAGCGCATTGGAATTAGTATTTGAGACATTTTTTTTATTTTTTTTTTACAAATTTGAAAGTACAGAAGAACTTTAGAAATAAGGACTCTCTTAAACCACTTGTTTATTGTTGTTTTTTTCTTTGCCGGGAAATTAAAGTTGGCCTGTCAAGGTAAGACAGATTTAAATTGTATCATTGTTGATCAGGCAGTGATGTCTCAGAAAGGCAACAGGTGTTTGATACTGAGATTAAGAATAAATGTGTAAACTAGTACTTTAAAATGTTTAGAGAGGACTTCTTAAGAAAGCTCTGACATAGACTTGTTGTTCAGGTAAAACCTGATGTGTTTGCCAGCTCAGGACATTTACAACCTGTGAAAGCCGCCAACAACAATCAGCCCTACATTACAGAGATTTTTCTCACACTAATGCATCTACTCTGCCCCAAAGCCCATGCACCTCTGTCAGTAAGGAATGCCACCAACTTTTAGTTTCCTTTACACACCTAGTTTAACTCAGTGACATCTACATTATCTCCTCTTTGTACCCCCGTTTATTCATGTAGTTCTTTTTAATCTCATAATCCCAACTGCTTCCCATCCAGCTAACTGAAGTGTAAGTTAAAAAAAACAGACCGTAGTCCATTAATAAGTCAATCTTTAATATTTATGTGTTGTAAGAAAAAAGAAAACAAAAAACAACCAATGCATAATGTCAGTTATCTACCTTTACTTTGGAGATATCACTCCTCTCTGCCTCCATTCTGTCCTTTCTAGTCTCTATATCCCGTCTGCTCCTCATCATGGCTGAGCCCGCCGAGCTGCTGCTCATCAAGGACCAGTACGAGTTGGCGTTTCATTCTCTGAGCCGTGGGCAGGCTGCTGAAGAGGCAGGGAAAGGAGTGGAGGCCCTGGAGTATTACAGGAAAGGTCGGCAGCACCTTACCCAAGGAATGGAAGTTCCCACTGGGGGGGAGAGACAGCAGGGAGCGGCTTGGGACACGGCCAGGCAGCTTCAGCAGAGGATGAGCGACACTCTGAGAACTGTTAACTCCCACCTCTCGAATCTGGAGACCTCTCCACTGACAACAGGAAGCCAGAGGGGCTGCCTGTTGATGGATCTTCCACCCAATCTTTATCCAGACCTGGCACCCAACAGTCAGCCTCCCCAAAGCTCCCTCCACCATTTGTACCCCACAATACCTGCCACCACGCAGAATAAAACCCCAAGCCCTAAAACACCCTCTGTCAGGCCTCCTTCCCCTGCTGCTCTGCACACACACACGCTCCCTGCATCAGGAACTATAGCCATGGCTAATCCAGGGGACCAGCCTCCAGCATACACACCACAGCCAACAGTCGGCCACCGCAGTCTGGCTTATGGTCCCGGTAGAGGTGGCCTCGAGTCAGGAAAACAGACTGGAGCAGCCGCAGGAGGAGATGGAAGTGAAATGCTTTTCATCCCCTCCGGGGTGCAGATGTTTTTCGTGGCACCAAATGGGCAGGTCAGCTCCCTGTCTTCTCCAGGATACCTTCGCATTATGACGTTTGACAGTCAGCACAAGACTGAAAGACCCTCTGCATTTTTACATGTAAGTATACAGTATGCCATGATATTACATGTCATGATGAATATCTGTGTGTGTATGTTAGTAAAGCATTTTCCTTGGGTGTGTGTCCCATAGCTGAGTAGGTGTGAACAGCAAACTACGTCAGGTAAAACCACTGCGTCACTAATAGACCAGTTTTATAACTAACTATGAGTCATTATGTTGATATATAGATTTGAAGAAATGTTCTACTTACAAATAAAGGTGTTAATAATCATACAGTACATGTGTCCATTGTTCACTTTGAGTTTGACAGCACATGCATAAATTCTGATAAAACATGTCAAAACTGAGCTTTAAACTTTGATTATATGTCTTTAAATGATTTTCTTCATTCATCAACTAGTTTTGTGTATGGAAACCTCTTAGATTAGTAATAAAAACACATCACAATTTCCTAGAGCCCAAGATGATGTCTTCAAATGTTTACAGTGTTACAAAGCAGAAAAAAACAGAAAAGCCTCACATTGGAGGAACAACAACCACTGATTTTGTTTAGCATTTTTGCTTAAAAAGATTATTTTATTATTAAAATAGTTGCCATTTAGTTCTAAGTCAAATACTAACTGATTAATTTAGTAATTATTTCAGATCTAGTTACAGTGCCTTCATTGCCTTTATAATCTAACTGAAATGAGATTGTTGGCCAGATGCTAAAACACTTTTTCAAACTAAATAGAGATATTATAATATATTTGTTGTAACGTTACTGCTTTTATTTTTGGGCAGTAATACTGTCCACTATGCCTATATGCTAAGAAATCTATCTCTGTTGTTTAATCTCAATCTGTTTTAGCATGCCAATAGAATAAAACTATTGGAGTTTCGACAAAAAGTCTTATTACTTTTATGGCACAAGTAAGTAAATAAATGAATAAAGTAATAATCTATTGTTGGACCTCTACAAAGCGCGTATTATTCCGTGTTGTATGCTGCAGTGCAACCCATGACTCTGTTTCCCACCAGACGAGGCTGCTGGGCTGCTCTCCTATATTCTGGCCCTGCTTTGTTTCCCGGCAAGACAATGGTCCCATTAACAGATGACTCTGCGCTTCTGTTGTGCTGCTGGTCAGTGTCCTGTGCCCTCACAGGGGTCATTCTGTCAGTCGGCATACCAGCGGCACGATGCAGCATCAAGTCTGTATCTGTATTATATCTGTGTGGATGGCTGACATGAGTCCTGATGGGGCTTAAATCCTGTAATGAGTCTTTGAGAGAGGAAAACATTGGGTCAAAAGTAATACGGGACACTGTGCCTTCTGGGAAATGACAATGCATTTTCATGTAAGGCTGACAGGGCCTCACAAGAAAACTTCTTCTTACATATGGAGATAATTGGGAAAATGACATTAGACATGGGATGATTTTTAGTTCCCATGGAATGAATTACCCCCCGGGAAACAAATAAGGACTCAAAAGCCATCACGTCCTGCTTGTCAAAGATCTGAGGTTATTGCAATGAACGGTGGATGTGTAGTGAACTACACCCAGTGATCTGTTAGAATGAATGCAGCCTCTTTGGTAATGATGATACATGGGTAATGACCTCTGAACTAGAGGCGTTCATCATGGCCGACCTCCTTGTTTTTTGTGTGTCTTTGTATTTTCAAGGTGTGTGACTGGCTGTACCCACTGACCGCAGACACTCCAGTGCTACTGGCTAACTCTGGGATCTTCATGTTCCCTGACTCACTGGCAGAGACGCCGGGGTCCTACGTGGGCATAGTGCTGTCTTCTGAACTGCCTGCTGCTGACCGAGAGACATTTAAGGACCTCCTAACGCAGCTGGCTGAACTCAGGATCCAGGTCAGTCTTAGCTGTCAGTATGGACCACACCTATGGATGGGGGTGGAGTCAATAGAGCAATATGGGTGTTCTTCTGTGTTTGGAGAGAAAAGGAGGGTGTTGGGTGTTGAAATGAATGCATAGTGTGTACAATTGTACACCTCCTTGTAGAATACAGTATCTCATTCCTGACTGTTGACTGTGTGACACAAACCTATACATTTGCATTATCACCTTTTTCTGTCTAAACAAAAACATCCACAGTGCTGTAAATGCACTGGTGCTTTTACACGAACAATACCTGTCACTTTTCTCTCTTGGCACTTAGTAGTATTGGGTAAAACATTCTTAGACAGCTTAGTCATGGCTTACAGGAATATACACACTGTTTGGGTGTATAAACAAGCATCTTACTGTATCTCCTTTCAGGATAACAGTTGTGTATATATAACTTAATGGATTCCCTGACAGGGTCCAGAGGGGGCAGGGTCGGAGGTCATCAACCTGAGTGAGAAAATCCACCTTGGTCCCCTGAAAGAGCAAACAGGTCTGACAGTGCCGACAGGAGAGAAGGAAAAACCACCCCTTCCTGGGTGGAGTGAGAAAATGGCACAAGGAATCTTGTCAGGTGTGTTTGTGGTACAACAAAAGGAAAAAAACAACTCTACACAGTGTTATACACAGATACAGCAGATGGTCACTAGAGGGCGTTGTTTATCTTTGCAAATGTGCCCAACCAACTACCACTTCTATTGCCTGTAGTAGGGATTTTAAGAACACAACAATCAACAATGATACTGCTAATGTACATTTATAAGCCATAATATTTCTGTTTCTTAGGAGCTGCAAAGCTAAGTGTTGAGTTTGTAAAAGGAGCAGAGGCCACTGGTAGGGCCATTCATAAAGGAGCAGCCAAGATCCGTGACCACATCACACCTGAGGAAACGCCTTCAGAGGTCAGCCCTCGTGTCACCAAAGGTCTGCAGGTGGCTAAACAGGCCACCGGGGGTGCTGTGCGAGTCAGCCAGTTCCTGGGTGAGGACTATAAATCATCCCACACAGGATATAATCATTCATACAAACAAACCCAGAAATCTGCTTCAGGGACAAAATGATGATAAGAATACAAGCTGCTTTTGGGTAGTAATGCTTAACGCATGGCTGGAGAAAACTCAGACATATTATTGATTTTTTTTTATATGTATGCTTATACTGTATAATTATGTATATTTACAGTTAATGGAGTGAGTACGGTGGCAGGACATGTGGCAGAGAAGATGGCGCCCCATGTGAAGAAACATGGCACTAAGCTGGTCCCAGAATCTATGAAGAGCAAAGACGGCCGTGCCTCCAACTTAGATGGAGCTAAGTTTGTGGCAGCCAGCAGCGTACATGGTAGATACCACCATAATTTCAGGATAAAAAAATTATATAAGCAAGTTATAATAGGACCTATAGCCTTGTACATTGTCTTACACTGGCATCATATTATTAACTCTATTTTACGTCACAATATTAAGTCATGTTTCAGCATTTGAAATATTTGCTTAAGGATGTGTGATCTAAATATTACTTGAATATTTTTCAGGTTTCTCTACGGTTTGGTCTAGTCTGGAGACTGGAGCAAAGCTTGTTGGCAAAAGTGTTACATCAGAGACTGTCTTGACTATGAAGTACAAGTAAGTTCTGAAAGCTCCCATTTCCGCTTCTTTATTTAACTGATAGAAATATTCTGATCTTTAATAATCTGTTGTAGATCTGGTTTCCAACTTATTTCTGAATCTTCTTTTAACAACACTAGAACTGTACTGGATCAGAAACCAGCCTAACAGTTGCTTACTGTGTTGCTTTCTTCTTGGTACGTTGGGAGACTCATCTGCTCTCACACCTATTTCTTTCTATTTCAGGTTTAAGGGCATAGAGAAGCTAATAAACATATGACTGCATGGTGGAGTAAAGGCAAAGACTTGTGAACTAACAACTGACCCAGATCAAGTCAGAAAATAATCCTCAATAAGACATCTTATCATCCAAATCTAACAGCTAACACAGAATTGTTTTAAAAATGGACTTTCTTTGATTAACTTATCTGGACATGAAGTATGTGTTTTGGGTTCTCTTGTTTGACTTGGTGTAGTTTAAGCTTCTGTTACGTGTGTGTGTTTCTGGGCTTGTCTACCTGTTTGTTTGCTGCAGCTAAATGTCTGCATGTGTTTGGTGGTGGTGCTCTTGCTCTTCATACCATCTGTATCCCCTTTTTCCTGATACGTTGATTACTAATAAAACTGCCACAAAGCGAAGTATGACTGTTTTTTCTTGACCTTTGGTGTGTTGATGTGAACGACAACAGCACCAATATCACACATCACACTCATCCACCTCATTTATTTTCTTAAACTAAACCACTCTTCCCTAACTGAACCATATTATTCATGGTGAAGGTATGGTGATGATGCAGGCCAAGCCACAGACACTGCTCTGAAGTCAGTGGTCAATGTTGGTGTGGTTGCATACAACATTGACAATCTGGGCTTCAAAGCCTTCCTGAAGACAACAGGCAAGGAAACAGCCAAGGCCATGGTAAAAAGACCGAATGGAGAGCCAGCAGGAAGTGAGGGGAAGGAGGCACAGAAACCAGAACATCAAGCGGAGACGAATGAGAAGGGTGTGCTGAAGAAAGAGGAGGAAGAGAAGAAAAAATAGCACACTGGTGTTTTACCTGAAGATCTCTGTCAAACTGATGGATCAGCACCTCATTGCAGGCAGAAACTATGTGAATGAGCCTAGGGCAAAGTGCAAAATCACTTTTAAAGTTGTTAAATACTAAGTTATTTATATCTCAAGGTTGGTCAGGGGTGGCTATATTGCTTTTGTGTCACAAAAAAAAGTTACTGTAAACTTTCACACAAAACTACTTATTTTTATTATTGTATTGTATTATTATATTAATTTATTGTTTTTTTTGCTATGTTCTTTTATGTATATATTTTGTGTATGTTTTGTATCTGACAAATAGACAATATTGACCACCTGGATGTTGAAACCTGTGTGAAAGTGGCCATAATAATGTTTAATACCATAACAAATATTAAAATTCATTATAGCTTTGATTATGAGGGATGATTTTATTTTTTTCTATCCCTGGATGCTCTTGAAAGGTGTTTCAAAAACAAGCACAATATAGGCTCTCTTTTGCTCACCCACACCCACACCCACAGGTGCTGAGCTCTGCCTCGTGAATTGCATGCTGTTTTTAAATTTTTAATTAGATACTCTGCAAGATTAATGAACTGACATTTATAGGCCATTAATGTTGAATGTTGAAACAAGAGCTCGGTGTACAAAGGGAAGTCCATTTTCAAGCCTAATTAAGCGCAAAGTTAGCGTCATAAAATAGCCGCTGACAAAAAGAAAGCATTAATGTACTTGATTGAATGTGTAATTTACTGGTTATTTATTTATTTATTTATTTATTCGTGCGCTGTCACGAGAGGGGTATTGCACAAAACCAGGAAGGGTTCCGGAATGTGGTATCGGCTAATTACTCAAGTCGGTTGCAGAAAGCAGGTAAACTTATCCCGGCCAAGTTACATGGTGATTTATTCTCTGCAGTTAGCCTGCTCCAGACCAGGCTAACAGCCAGGCAACATTAATCCAGTGATTCACCGTATTTCCACCGTCAATCCGTGAGGAATTAATGTGTTTACAGCATGTCCAGGTCTTTCTAAGTATTTGCATCATTTTAATATCCCATAAAATATTACATATATTTGTAATTCTATTTCATTAAATCGTGGGCTGTTTAATTGCAACAGTCTTTTATATTAATTCAAGTGGTAGTATATACCAGGACAAGTGTTATATTCATGCTAATGAGACGCTTTCAAATTCAAAAAATGTGTTATGCAGTAATGAGATTACAAAACACAGCGATGAAGTCAAAGGTGTTTCAATAAATCGTGACAAGGCAATATAGTATATATATATGGCAACCGTTAAGAATTAATCTTAATATATTAATGAATCTTAATATATAGAATGAAACACGTCATCAAGGCACCCCATCGAGAAGTGGTGAGTCAGTCAGGAACCCACAATACGACATGAGGACATTATAACCATACAAGTGCTATGGGCAAAATCTCCCAATAGTGGTCCGTGCCCAACCGTTCAAGAAGTTCACTCCCTTTTAATGGTGGCAGGCACACACAGGCCTCAGGCTAAATCACAAAAAACAAATCAGTTAAGAAAGTATTGTAATATTTCAACGATGCCATTTTAAAACCAGCTATAGAAGGCTATCACTTAGAAAAATACAACAGGTTTATTTAAGTTTCACATTTTATCAGTATATAAGTTATTAATATTCAAGATTCATTCAAAGGCATGCCATAATATATATATATATATATATATATATATAACGTTCCATCCAATGTACAAAGGAAGCAATAGAAGCATTAGTATGAAAAGTGACAGGTCAGACCCATCTAATGACATCCATAGAATACAGATTCTCAGGGATGGACAAGAACATGTGGCCGGGTCAAAACACACCAACGGCAGGAACCAAATACCACAGATGGTCGTGTACAGTGGATGTTGCAAGTGGGGCTCTATCTGTGGATGAGAGAACCCAAAAGGAACCATTTCGACATCCGGCGGGGGCCGCCCCGTGCCAGTCAGGCTTCCACAATCAACAGACATCAACATGTCACAACACCAATCACACCAGTCACGATCACTTATAGTCACGACAGCCCAAAATGTTGATAACAACCCAGGTCTTAGCCAAAAGTAAAAAAAAAAAAAAATAAACAAAAGTTTCCCTTAATTATTCTTTACATTTAAGTAAAATGTACCTGTACTTTCCACATTTAAAGCAAAGTGTACAACAATTGATTAGTGGACTTAAAGTAACTCCTAGTCCTTTAATGCCTAATGATGACAGTCCAGTGGAGCACTGTTTATTCATTGTACAGTTTTGGACTACTTAAGCATTAAGCCGGTCCGCTATTGTCTGCCAGGCTTTCCCTTCTTTATTATTGCCTTTTTTTCTTCTATCTTCCACGTCTTCATAGACCGCTCTGATCCTGCCCATCATGATTTTTTTTTGGGGTTTTTTTTTTTATTTTGGTTTGAACATTCACTTTTCCTTTTTCTATCTATTTTTTTTTAAATACACCTTTTTTTTTTCTTTGGGCGGGGAAAGTGCAAATTATTTAAAGAGGGGGGGCGCGAAAGGAATATAAAACCCGCTTTTTTTTTTTTTTTTTTTTTTTTTTTTTTCTTTTTTTTTGCAATCCCCAACTGGAAGAGCTTTTTTTTTCAAACCCCCCCCAAATTTGGGGGCGGCCCTGGGGCGTTCGACGCTTGCCCGAACAGCCCGGAAGCATGGGTCTCCATGGAAACCCCGTGGAACAAACTTTTCCTTGAGTTGATGACAGTTTTTCAGAAACATGACAGGAGACAGCGACTACAGCAAGTACGACTTGGCACGACTGCGGGCGGAACTTGAACAAGAGAGAGAAATGAAGTGAGTTTGCATGAATGTATTATTACTTAGAACGGAGATGAAATGTTATTTCCTACTTAAAGATTAGCATTGTCTGGCTCTTGATCGTAGAGAAATGCTTGAAGAGTCAGTCTCTGATCTGCGCAGTACCATGTGTGAACTGCAAGAAAGACTGCACAGTGTTGATGGGGAAGGTGAGATCAAATTTAAGTATATCTTATAATACATAATTATAGCCTATAATTTAACCTAAGTCTGTAACTTTTACCTACAGTGCTAGCTGGTATCCACTGGTTTAGTTATATCAGGCCAGTGACCCTCCAGTGTTGATCACTGTAATGTGATCATAGTGTGAAAGTTTCTTCTATTTATTCTTACATACCAGGAAATGAGTGGAAGACAAGGTATGAAACACAGATAGAGCTAAATGGACAGTTGGAAAGACAGATGTCACTCATTCACGAGAGACTGGAGGACCTACGAGGAAACCCCATGGGTGAGTTCACAGGCTTCAGCTAAGTTTCTAGCATGTTAGGGCTGCATCGGGTTTCACGGGCACCCACAGTGGTTCCCAACCGTTTATAGCGACCCCCACAGCCCAGTCCGATGAACTCAGTACCATTCATCAACACCACCATTTATGTTCCAAAGGTGTTAATCATATAAACGATGATATAATAGTGTAATGTTACAGTATTTTCATGCAGTCCATTAAAAGGCCATTCATGTTAAATGTTGAATCAAGAGGTCGTGACAATGTTAGTTGGTTGTCAAATTACATTAGTAATATAATCAAATGGAGTTCCAAAAGCTGGACATTCATCCCATGTCATCCCCTCTCTCCCTCCCCTGCCTTTCCTGTCCATCTCTCCAGCTGACACTGTCTAATAAAGCATAAAATGCCAAAACAAATCTGTAAATAAAAGTATGGGGTGTTTACCAACATCCCATGAACGCACTGCCCCTGATGACAACAATGTGTAAAAAAATGTATAATATATTCACCCATCTCAAGTGAGTTTGTATTTTAATGCGTGCTCACACAATGCTCGCACACTTTCTCTTGTTTTTCACAGATCGACTGGCCTCCATCCGATCTTATGACGACATGCCAGTAGTGAGTGCAAACATGTTGATTTTCTATCTCATCTCTTTTGTTGTATCGGTGCCATTTAGTGAGTTGAGTTTACCAGCAGAGAGAGCCAGAGACACAGAATGAAGAGGGAAGACAGGCAGGACAGAGAGGATTGTAATGCCAGCTGTCCTCCATCCTCCAGTTGATACAGGCTGAACAAACCAGAGTTTAATCACAGCACTGTAATCACAGGATTACAAACCATGGGAGAGTAATGCACACTAATTACAATGCTTTAACACACACACACACACACACATGGATTCACACTATACACTGAAAGGTTGCACGATACAGTCTAAATGTGTGTGTGTCTGTGTGCCTTAAGGCAGAACTAACAGATGCTCATTAGTGTTTTCGAGGAGTGACAGCAAGATTGTGGACCGAAGCACTGTGAGTGTGACAGCAAGATTGTGAGAAGAATAGAGGTTATTTTAATTAATGCAGTGAGTAAATATTTAGACCAATGTGTTCGGAACATTTCACAGTGTCTGCAGCTCCAAAGAAAGAAGCTTGACCATTTCTCTGATACAGTCTGTGGCATCAGTGCTAGCACAGCTCCTGACTATTTGAGCTTCACGTTTGAAAAATGACTTCTGTAAGACAGCACAGCTGATGCTTCTAATGAGATGTACTTTGGGGTGGTAAACATCCTCTGCTGTGAAGAAAAATGTCTGTGCTATGAAAATGCTTCACAGTCAATGATTAAGATGATTTGAATATACATTATAAAGTATACATTTATGTATTTTCCCACATTCAATGCACACTGATTCTTAAAAATTGGTACGATGCATGAATATTGCTGTTACGTCTTGGTGGTATGCATTAAAACTGACTACAGTTGCTTAATTTGGGGCACATGAAGAAAAAAGAAACTGAACCCAGATATATGTATATATATATATATATATATAACAAGTTTCATCTAGCCTTACCGTGTATGAGCTCTAATATGTTCATTTTGTTATTGAATAATGCACAAGCCTAATCCATTTTTGTTCTTGTGTTCTGCATTAAGTATTCTGTTGTTGTTTGATCCTCATAGAGAGCATAGTGTACTTCTAGTACAAATTGATTTGTAATTAGAGAAAAGCAGTACAGTCTTTATACACTGTGGCCTCTTCTGTTATGAATGTTGCTAATTAAATGGAAATGTTTTGCGGCAGGAGACACTGAGACAGCGCCTGAAGATCCTGACTGAGGAGAAGTCGGACCTCCAGAGTCAGCTGATGGACTGTCATCTCAGAATCGAACAGGAGGGAAAGGTATGGTTATAGTAGTACAGTTAGAGGGATTTTGTGTAAGGGGTCACAATGTCTGTTGATCTATAGTTTTATTATTTCTCAGACAAGCAGCTTTAAACTTTTCCAGGTGATAAATATTTCAGCTACAAATTACCTTCATTAGCAAAGGATTGAAAAAGATTTGCCTGATATTTTTGTTTTTGCATTCTTTACTTTTTAGCAATCACTGATGCATAATTGAACCCAAACCCTTTGTCCTGTTCTGCTGCGGCTAGGCCAGTATGCTCTTAGTTTAGCGACTTGGCTCTTTGTGTATTGTTCTGCTTAACAAACAGCAAGATATTAGTTGAAAAAAAAAGGTTTAACACGCAGCCATGTGCAGCCAATCCACGTAATCCAAGTTCTAATCTGTTGCTCATTAACACGAAGTCTTCCTGAAATACGCTCTAATACACACAGGCAGCAAACGCATACCAAGCACTACAACCATTAGCAGATTATTACTGACAGTTAAAAATGTGACAATATGGACCTCTGTTTCTTTCAAATATCAGGCGTTTCATAAAACCAATGATGAGAGGCGGGCATACCTTTCAGAAATCGCCAAGGTAAGCATCCCTTTCATCCATGTCAACAGTTTTGCTCGAATGTACTAACGAACGTACTAAGTCGAGCAAGTAGCTCTCAAACCAAACCTATTGACTACTAATCATTGAATATTAAATATATGCCACACTGAAGAAAAGCTGTCCTAGTTAAGCGTTACAAAAGGACAATACAGTGTAGAGAGCAAACTGATGTACTCTCTAGCTCTTCTCTTTCAGGCCTAGTTATGATTTCTCATTCATCCTCTAGTGCTGTGCTCTCTTGTTATATAATAGGTGAGTCTCTGTTCAACCAAAAAAAGCGAGTCAAGGACTTTCTGCCTTATGCTGCAACAAAACTGGTTCCTGCAGGGCTGTCACAGACGCAGCTGCAAGGAACCTCAACTACATTTCTCTCTCAATATTCTATGTATCTTTAGAAACAAATCTTTACATTTGAATGATCACATAACAGTGTGTGACTGGCTCATGCCCACTGTGAGCCACACAAGCACACATACACACGTGCATACAGCTAAACACAATGTTTATGTGTCTGCACTTACTCGTGAATTTTGTCCACTGCCACAGCTGTCCTCCACGCTGGAAGGCCAAAGAAGACAGTACTCCACCCAGCCACAAAGGGCACCAGAGAGCAAACAGAGGAGGTGAGTGAGGCATGACATTTAAAGGTGATGGACACAATAATATGAACAAACTATGGCCTCAGAAATCACTGTACAATTTAATTAATTAAAAAATGGAACGTGATAAACTTCACATAGGTACAGCTTGTTTGAGGGCGTCTAAAATGTAAGTATTTATAAGGGACTGCGTACAATATTATATTATTATATAATATAATATTATATTACAATAAAAAATGGAAGTAAAATGGAAGTAAAATTACCAGATAATCAGTCAATCAATCAAACTTTATTTGTATAGCACCTTTCATACAGTTTAGTGCAGTTCAAAATGCTCCACAGACAACTAACAAGATGATGATAATAAGACAGAATGGAGTAAGAATTAAATAAGGTAGATAGAATAGAAAAAATAGAATGCAATGGTAAAAATAACAATAAAATACAATACAATCGATTGTACAGGTATAACGATAGTATTTAATAAAAGTTATTCTAAAAACTAAATAAAATAAATTAAGAAATCTGGCACAAATAACAAATAAAATCAATAAGAAGGATACAATATATACATATATTATGAGGGAATAGTTAAAATAAATTAGTAATAACATTTACAAAAGTAACAAAAGAAAATACAATAAGATAATTGAGTAAAAAAATGGCAAATAATGTCTAAACACAATTCCTTAGTTAAAAGTCAGGCTGAAGTGATTTCAACACTTCCAGCTGCTCTAAGATCCTCCTCAGTCTGTTCCAACGCTTGGAGCGTAAAAACTAAAGGCTGCCTCGCCAAAAGGTTTTTGTTCTGCGCTTTTGAACTACTAGGAGGCTTGTGCCAGAGGATCTGAGGAGCCCCACTGGTTCAAACTCAGTGTGTGTGACATATATACCAGTGCAAAAGCATAAGTACAAACAGAGCAAAAATGTAGTAAAATGGAAAAACACTTTTAAGAGAGCTGGTGCATCGAGTGCTGACTTTAATGCAAATGCAAAAGGGACGGTTATTGTGGAAGATATTCTAGGGTGCCCTCATAATGGACAAAGTCACACAACAGAGGAGAAACCAAAATATTGAAAATTTTATACACAAGAAACACTAACATCTGACAACATTTACTATGTGAAATACTGATATCATCTTGGAATTTCTGTGTAAATTGATTTGTTTTGGTATTACATTTAAGTACTGATTTGTAGCTAATAAAGTAATCATGTTTGACAAATTTGCTTGACTCATTTAATAAATGAACAAATTCTAAGATCTATCCTCTTAGAATATTATATTTGTAGGACTTGAATTGAGAAATCCGGCATTGTTTCAGCTCTCTGTAGCACTTTAATAGAAAACACTGTGTATTTCTGATTGCACAGAGGGAAGCAGGCCAGCAGGAAGGCAGAGGCTGACTCTAACAAAGGCAAAGAGAGAGAAAAAGATGGAGGAGTGCGTGTGAAAGGAGGAGGTGGTGGTGGTGGAGCAACAGCAGAAAGAAGAGAAGAGAACAAATCTCAAAGGGGAAGCAGGTTACCCACCTTAAAGTACTACTTGAAACACAATCCCTAATTCCTGGAGTTATATCCCTTTTAATGCTGGAATGATTGCAGCAGAAACTTGCCAATTGTTTTTGTTTTTTTCAGTAAAAGAATTTACTACTATTTACTTTGTCTTTCTTACTTTGCTTTCAGCTTCCTGTGGCTTTGCTCACATTTCCCAAAGGCTTGAAACAATGTGGTTCCTATGTCGATTATCTATCCGTGTGCCACAGTATTGTAACTCAGTGTTTATTATACAATGGATGGGAAATACAGTGTTACATTTATAATGAAGTCTGGCATTATTATTCCCTTACACATTTCTTTGTTTAAGCAAGAGTACCTAATGTTTCAGAGGGGGGGATATTACAAGGTTTTGAGGTCATCTCCTAATGTGCCAGAAGCTTGCTGAATCTGACATTTCTGATCACTGCAATTTTTTTCAAAACACCTCCTACGACTTGCATTACATAAGCAGCACCACATTCACCACCCTCGTCCACCGAGCAAACCAGTCACCCCCATCCCACCTACTGACCGCCTTAATAAAACTAAGTGTAAGAAAACAGCATCTATATGAGATGTAGTAGTGAATAGGAAGATTGTGAAGAAGTGGGGAGGATGGGTTTAGTTCTTGTCAGTCTTAAAACATTGAATTGAAACATCTCATAACGCAGGGCATGGTCTCATGGCATGACTTCATCATTTTGTTTTGTCCCGTTAGCTTTCTCTTCCTTGTTCACTGATTGGCCTGTAAGTACAGTGACGTCATGTTAATTATCTCGTGGATTGTGACCTAAAATTGGAGTTTGAGACAAAAGAGCCCACAGGCAAAGAACAATTCATAAAGCTGCCTGAACTATTCTACAATTTGTATGTCCAAGACTGACATGGCAGTGTGTTATAGTGACAAGGGAACTGGCTCTTTAATTAGAAGGGCAAAGATCAAGCCCCAGCGTCAACAAGCATCCGCTGATCTGTCTTTTATCATGAATACTCAACCACCTTCACTTTACTGTAAATTTCCTTATACGTGAATTAATCATTTTTTTGTGACAAACATGGGTTTGAAACATGAACAGAATATATAAAATATATGAAAGTACTCACCCAAAAACTCCACCCAAAAATGCAATTTAGCTGTGTATCACTCACTTCAATGTCATGATTACAAGTAGATAATGAATGATGGATATAAGGACATTACATGATTCACACCTTTAAGCTCTATAGTTGGATGTAATATCTTAAATATTCAATGATCTCTCAGTCACTAATTTATCGGCAAATTTATCCTATAAACCAAATCGAAAAAGTATTTCCTGATTACATCGTCAATCCAAATCCTAATGCTCAAATAGCACCAAGAGACATTTGTTTGTGTTTGCTGGTATTGACTGCGCTGTCTAAAATCATTGGTACAGCAGAGTGTGAAGTCTTGTTTTAGGGTGTGTTTTCCCTTTACAGGTGCACTCGTATTTCTCATATGGTTGGCTGACTTGGTGTACAATCCTAAATGTGCTGCAGTGACAGGTTGTTTGTCTTAGATTAATTATTTAATTTAAAGATAGCCAGTCCATGTTGCCTTATGAAAGAGTGAGCACATTTACAGCGCACCGCTCTCCCTCATCCTCCTCCTCCTTCTCCTCTCTTTTTCTCTCTGTTTCACGGACAAGCTTGTTTTAGTACAACTCACTGCATCCTGCCCATGAATCACACAGCACACACAGTAACCACCTAGACGTCTTCTGCTGACAGGTGAAACATGGTGACGAATCACACTACTGCTGTCTGCCCATGCCAACAAAGCCAGCTCCTCTCTCTGTACTCACCATGAGTGTGCTGCAAACAATGTAGTATACGTGCAAGTGCATATGTGTGTGTAGAAGGGACTAACTGGCATATGTGCATGCATGCATTCAGCAGAGGACACATGTTTTTGATGCTAGAAATCTTTCCATTTTCCATTTCCATTTTCTTTTCAAGGGTTATATTGTTCTGTTTTCCTATGTAATACACTTCATCAATAATTATTACTGTCATTTCTTTTCTCCTGTTCTTAAGTGCATGTTTGGTGTTGAGATAATCCAAAAGTAACACAAAGAAATCAAATTCTGGTACTTTAATATTGTGATACTGGGATTAGGTTACTGACTATAGGTAATGAGTAATTGTATCAGATTACATTTTTAAAGTAACCCTCCCAACCTTGGTCAGAGTGACAGACTTTCCGTGTTGTGTGAAATGATAAAAATATTATTGTAGCATAAAGATGCAGTGATTAATGACAGAATGGAAAGAGTATCATTGTACAGTAGCATCTGTCAACAGTCTGAGTGGGCAGGTTTTTAAATGGGCTGTGATATTAAGGCTGATTTAATCTTCGGAATTATTCCAGATGGGATTTGCCGAAGTATAAATTATTGGTTCATCTATCCACATCTTTAATGAGCTCCAGCTTTGTGTTTATTATCATTAACTTCACAGAAATGCACTAGCAGACTGTTTTTTAATATCCTAGAAAACACTATTAGAGTCAAAATTGACCCGAGAGAAGGTCTTGTTCTAAAAAACTAAAAAATCGCGATATTCTCTGTCCTTTTTTATGAGGGACAGCAGATCATAAAACTGTCAAATCCACATTAAAAGTGCTGTGTATAGTTTAATTTACAAATAAAATAAAATGTGCCCTCAAGGACACTTGACATTTATGTGCCTTAGTCACTATGACTTGTATCTTGTTATGTTATTTTGATCATGTTATTTTGTCCAGTCAGTAATGATTCAGCTGCAGTGCTGAGACAAATGTGGATGCATATAAATATTATGTTCTGTATGATTTATTTAAAAGTTGCAGTAACTTCAGAGCATATTTCATCCAGTAACATGCAGAGGTGCGCAAATAAATATACCTTATTTACTGATTTGAATATATATGGACACTCATATGTGACTTGCAAATTCTCAGGCATTAAGAATGGAAATGAGACCATGGTCCTGTTTTTAAGTCCTTCACTGTGTCCTCCATCTTTGCCGCTGGTCTGAAGACACATCCCCCCCACAAGTGCCCTGTTTTTTAGATTAATTTAGACAGGAACACCTTGTCAGCACCCCAGTTTGTGGCGCACACTGGGTCCTTTGGTGTGTGTGTGTGTGTGTGTGTGTGTGTGTGTGTGTGTGTGTGTGTGTGTGTGTGTGTGTGTGTGTGTGTGTGTGTGTGTGTGTGTGTGTGTGTGTGTGTGTGTGTGTCCAAAATAGAGAAATCTGTGACTGTCAAACATTCAGATGCATACAGTCAAACAAGCAGGTCTGTGCATGGAAGCAGCCATGAAAGATGTAATCACATACTGTATTTGATCATTAAACTGTCTGATATATTCATGTAAGTTCTGGATTAGATTATCTGGATGGTATCATGATATGTGACCTTTTAAAACAAGCATCAAACAAATGTCACTAACATTATGTTAATTTTAAAGGAAGTTAAACATTTTACATAATAGAGCTGTGACATGTTCAACAGGTAAAACAGCATCTTCAACCTGTGAAACGCTGTTGGCACTGTAAATACATTGTTGGAAGCTTTTTAAGAGACTGGGGCAACTTTTCACCATCAGAAAAATGCTGGGTAACACGCACGCACGCACACACACACACACACACACACACACACACACACACACACACACAGAACACACACACACACACACACACACACACACAGTTCATCAGGGAGTGGTGATTGAGCGGAATTGGGTGGTCTCTGGAGGCCAGGATGTAGGTCAGTGGTCTTTATCTCGCCCATTGCTCGGAGAGAATATTTCATGCTGTGACATACAAACAAACTTCAGAGCTTATAGGAGGAAACAAGCTTTATGGTAATGAGACAGCAGCATCCTCGCCGGCTCTCAGCCTTCATGTTGCTGTTGCATGAATGTTAAAAGCATATAGATATGTAATCCCAACAGTAATAGTCATAATAGACTTATAGAGGAAGAAATGGAATTGAGTATAAATCATACATGTCTCGCTGTATTTGGATCACTGTGAAAGCTGCTTTGCGTAGTTTGAACCTTATAGTTTAGGTTTGAGCTGCCTTGAGATTCCTAGTGTACACACTGGAGTGAGTGTGTTACTTAACATCTCACGTGCAAATGTTCTTGCATAACATAATTCTGCTAATGTGATTACAGCTCTTACACATCAAAATATAGCCTATATAATACATATACATATACATGTGTGTACATAGATCAATCAAGTGTGAGTGCTGATTCTGGTTAAACACAAGGACCAGAGAATTTTCCAGAAATCTATTTTTGTTACTGAAAGGTTCAAAAAGGAGGGAAAACTATTGTTTTTGCTTCTCTTAATAAAGAATCTCAGTCATTGGTGTTTAAAGGAAAACCTCTTAAATGTCCCTAAAAGAGAAGTAGATCAACCCCCCCTCTCCATCCAACACACGCGTCGTGTGTTTTGGGGGCTGGTACAGGGGGTGGCGTGCAGGACCAGCAGCATCCCCCTCAACACGGGTGGGAAGCGTGGGTCCGCATCCTAATTAGAGGTGGGGGCGCTGAATGAAAATCACGACAGAGTGACGTGGAGGAGGATAAGAGAGGAGGTGGGTGAAAAGAGAATGGGAGGGGAAGCAGCTGCTACCTAGTCCATTTCCAGTCCAGCCTCTGCTTCTTTTGCTCAGTTCGCACACACACACACACACACACACACACACACACACACGTTTTGGTGGAGCACATCAACCGGACAACAAAGGGACGCACAGTGGGGGGGTCGGCACACTGCAGCCAGGACAGGATCACACGTTACCACCATCCAGTGTCAGCCACCAGCGCACTGAACTCTTTTATTTTTCTTCCACATCTACTGGGAAATAAAGCATCAGTCAGTCTGGAGGTGACCGTCACAGAAGCGTTAAGTGCTCGCCTAGGTAAGCTTGTCAATTATCAGCTCATATAAGTGATCAATTCTTTCATTTGTCATGTGCACCGTGGTCTCTAAACACTCCTATCGTTATGTGTTTTTAAAGACTCACGCCTCTTTATTTCAAGAGTGGAGTAAAATCACATATCTGCCATATATTAATCATTGTTTAAGTGGTATTCTAGTTAATTTGGGGTCGCAGTTTTTGTGTGGCGCTACTCCCCGTGAAGGCTGCCGTGCGTCCGGCTGTGCACTTGGGTTGTGAATATTTATAAAGAGGGAAATTAATCGGCTATTATCGATTCGTGACTGCCGCTCTCTATCCATCTGCGCCTCGGAGCGACTCTGACAGACAGTGTCGGGTCGTCATGAAGCATGCTGTCCGCTGCTCGGCTTAACAGCACTTAATCTGTCATTAGGGGGTTATTTTGAGACAGTGCACCAGCGACGGGCACCGGCTTGCTACTTGATCAGCCGTCCGAACCTCTTTCCCCGGTTCTTCCCTTCCTCTGCGCCTCTTGTTTTTGTTTACTTATTCGGTGGTGAAAACTTTTTTTCACCGCATTCCTCCTGTTTGTGCTTCTCAACCCCCACCCCCCCCTCTCTCTCCAACCCACCCACCCCAGACAGCACAGCCGTACTTGTAAGCCTCGGCAGCGAGATGGAGATGGAGCACTTCGACGACCGGGACAAAGGTCACAGACACAGCCGCTCCAGCGCCAAGATGAACGGGGTACCGAGCCCGACGCACAGCGCCCACTGCAGCCTGTACCGGACCCGGACCTTGAAGACTCTGACCGCGGAGAAGAGAGCCAAGAAGGTCCGCTTCTACCGCAATGGAGACCGGTACTTCAACGGGATAGTGTACGCCATCTCCACAGACAGGTTCCGGACCTTTGACGCACTGCTGGCGGACCTGACCCGCTCCCTGTCCGACAACGTCAACCTGCCCCAGGGCGTCCGGACCATCTACACCCTGGATGGCTCCAAGAAGATCACTAATATTGACCAGCTGGTAGAAGGTTTGTATACAGAGCTACCTTGAGGGCTCAACTTACACCTGCAGGTTTATATGGTCTATGTGCCTCTCATCCACCTCTACTCATGGCCTTATCAGCATCCATCATGTAATATGTCAGTACATCTCTTCCTCTCTCCTAAAGAGCACCTCTTGTAAAGAGTAAATTAACAAACTTAAGGCTATTTACATTTACAGTCTGGTTTGTACTCAGGCAACACGGTATTTTTATGGGCAATGCTCTATAAAAATGGCTAAACACGCTTCAGACTATTATTCTGAAGATTAAATCACTCATGGTGATACAGACGTGTGTTTAGGCTCAGATTAGTTCAGTCTTGATCTGTTTTACTCTCTAAGAAGTAACATGGGTAGAGCTATACATTTCTATCATCTTTGGTTATATGGCATATGAAAAAATGATATATGAAAAGTAGCCAGCCTATGTTATGGTATTTGCATACCTCCTTTCCTCTTCCTTGTCACCATTTTTTGCTCAACCCCTCTTATCTCAGTTGTTATTTCTAAAGCTCATCCTATATCTTCCAATGATTTTGTAAATAATCTCTCCTTGAATTCCCCCCTCCTCCCCTGCAACCCCAACAGGTGACAGCTATGTGTGCAGCTCCATTGAAGCTTACAAAAAGTTGGATTACACAAAAAACGTGAACCCCAACTGGTCGGTGAACGTCAAAGCCTCGGCGGCGTCCTCCCGTGGGCCTCCTTCCCTGGGCAGTGCCAAAGCCGGGGCCCCCGAGAGCCGCGAGATCAAGGACTTCATACGGCCAAAGCTTGTGACAGTGGTGCGGAGCGGAGTGAAGCCCCGCAAAGCTGTGAGGATCCTTCTCAACAAGAAAACTGCTCATTCGTACGAACAAGTCCTGACCGACATCACTGATGCCATCAAGCTGGACTCTGGAGTGGTGAAGAAGATCTACACGCTGGAGGGCAAACTGGTGAGAAATCCAAAACCAAATCATCACTGTGTCACACAGCAATGTTTTATGGTTGGCAGCCCATTTTATAAGTATTGTTCATGTTGTGGAGGGCGACACTAAGCCCTTTTTATGGTATTGCGGGCATCAGACATATCTTTGACTTGGTTTTATCATGGCTGGCAATTGTAAGCCTGCATTCAATATTTCGAAATGTTTCTAAAACTTGCAGTCTAAATGCCATCTCTGGTAATACAGTCGGTGGGAGTTGATGTTTTGTTGCAAGTGTCACCCATGATGAGTGGTTCCATTGAGGGAAATAGACCAGACAAGAGACACACGTTGCTGTTTTCATGTGCAATAGAAAGATTCTGCCACCCTGATTCACGAGTTTGGTTGTTTCGCATTTGTTTTGCTTGGAGAGGGGAAGTAAAGATCAACAGGCTGATAGAAGGGTCAAAATGGCTACATATTTTATGACCACACTAATTTTTCTTTCATGAGCCTTTTATGAATTAAGTGTCCCCGTTTACAGCCCGAGCTGTGACGACAGAGAGTGACACAGACCGAAAAGAGGTTGAGAAAAGGTTAAGATGAAAGAAATCTATGAATGGAGTCTCACCCACGCTGTAGTGATGTGTGCCAGAGCTTTGCCTCCGAACACGGAAATAAATCAGAGTCAAAGCCCCCTTGATAGTCCACCCACCCATTCAGCTCCCTCTCTCAGCTGTGGAGGGAGATGCTATAAAAAGAACGCACTTTAACGTAGTACTGTACATGTAGATATTCTCCACTACGGCACTAAAAATGAGGTGGTGGTTGTATGTGGAAATGGTTCTGAACTTTCTTTCATGTTTGTGTGTATTGTCAAAGAGAGAGAAAGTGTTTCTGCCAGCATGTCAGGGTTTCAGGTTATATTTGTGACACGCTTCAGATCTCTGGTCTCTTCCTGTTTGTTTTCATGTCACCTCTGCGTCTCTCATGTCGTCCCCCATCATCGTTGTGCCCATCTTTCTGTCTGCTCCCCTTTCTCTAGGTCATTTTGTAGCTCCAAGTTATTGACTGTTGCGCCACAGAACAGCTTTTCCCCTAGCAGTAGCATCAGAATGACAGTATCGTTTTGAAACAGATTGTGTTTGACGTCAAGGGCGTCCTGCCATTTTGTGTCGCACAGCAGTAATCATCTCCTAAATGGCCAATTTGTGACTCGTTCTCATGAACATGTCCTTTGCCCTATGGGCTTTTTATTCTTAATTGCCATTTTAGTACTCTGTGTTACGATTTATCCCAGTTCTAAAGATTAATCTTCATGCGTTGGCACTGGCATTGCATCCTGTCTCTGAAGTCCAGCAGTCTATTTAATGATCCACTGTTAACCTAGTAGGAAGTCATTCCAGATTTCCTGATCTGACCTGGTGTTACAGAAGATCCCGGAACCAGCCAATAAAATCACAGTATCAGGTTTCCCTTGAGAAACCTCCTGCTGGGGATTAAACTCACGCTTTTGCACAATGTCTGCTAACTCTGCAGTTGCCATTGGTTACGATTATCTTGGAGATTACACAATAAACGCTGCTCTTGCCTGGCCCACCCCTTATGAGATTGGAAGTAAGACTAGTATGGTTGTGCTATTTTTAGACACTGTATTGATTGGGCCCGTAGGCATGGTAACACACTCACTGACAAATTGGCTGGGTTGGGCTGAGTGCACAACCAACTCCTTCTCATTTTTATGTGTGATTGTGAATGTGTGCGTGGGTTCTTGCATGTGGGAGAGTTTGTGATTATATTCAGTTGGAGAACAGAAAAGAGGCGAATTAGGGATTCTAAAGCAACATGTGAATTAATGATGAGGTAACAGATTTGAAAGGAGTTAGTAGATTGGATAGGAGCACCTTTGCATAGAATTGAGTGTCCATGTTTGTTTCATGCTTGAGACCTGAACAGCCTCCTGTTTCTGATTAAGTGAAAAGTCTCAGAAAACACAAAATAAGCTTGTAGGAAATTTAAACCCCCTATGAAATGTGGTTAATCCATGTTAACTTGACCATTACACTGAGAGAGAGAAGCAGGCTTATCTTATTATAACAGGAAATAAACCTCAATATGACAAAGCAAATAACAATCACATAAATGATGTCTAGATAAACATCTAAATGAAAATTTCATAACGGTAACATATGGATAAGTGAAAGCGGGCAGGATGGGATGACTAGTGAACAAACTGTATGTTAATGACACTTAAATATACATTATTGAATATCAGGAGTGCACTAAAGGTAATTACCTGAGTGCTCACTGGGATAAGGTTACTTTAGGGGTTAAGCAGAGTGTGTGTGTGTGTGTGTGTGTGTGTGTGTGTGTGTGTGTGTGTGTGTGTGTGTGTGTGTGTGTGTGTGTATAGCTGCATGTGTGTGTATGCATGTTTTTGTGTGTGTGGGCTGCTGCTGTCAGCTGAGCCCTGTCCGTCATTGAGCCTACAGCAGAAGTAGGTTTCTGGGCCTGGCTGCCAGTAACGTTGAGTCCCACTAGAGCTGCAGAGCCTAGAGAGAGCATCTGACAACCGGAGCTCAGGCTCCTTGGCTTCATTAACCCCTGTAATGAGGCCAGGGACAGCGGGCCATGTATATGTATATCCCCACAGCCCTCATAGTCTTCCTCTCTTTGTCTTTGTCTCCTGTCATTCTCAAGGATTTCAGCAGCCTGCAAAGCTGTTGGATATGGATGGATTTTACATAATTACTATTAATTCATATTATATCATATCAAGTTTTTCAGAAGTTCAGTTCAGTTAAAAATGCTGCAGCTAAATTGTGCTGAGATGAATAATGGATTATGTTTTTGGTATCTGAAGTTGGGCTAAGAGTTCAGCTGTGAGTTTCAGCTACAGTCCTCTGTCAGTCCTCTCATTACGCCTCTTCATTTAAATGTGTTTTTATGTGTATCTATCTGCATTTGTGACTGTGTAGGGCTTTTCAATACAATACTGTTGCCAATATTGTTTGTGGTACCTTGCTTTGAGGAAAATATTTCTAAATAATAAATATAAACTATAAACTAAATATAACCCCTTTTTTAATTTTACAAAGGGACCCAAATTTCTCAAATATCAAATCCTGTCTAAACACAAGCCGCCATACAAGAACTTCAAAATACAATATAATTATAACTGGCAATATTATAAATTAGATTTGAAAATTAGACTCAAGTCTTACCAGGCATTCAATGCCACCTTTTGGCACTTGGTGTTTTTTAAACTCATTGCTACGAGCACATTTGAGTCAGTAACAAAACAGTTTTGAGGTTCAATACGTATCCCCAGCGTATACACACACGCATTTTTGTTATAAAACTATGGTTTTGGTGATTTCTTTTCAATGTTGTCACTGTTAAATCATTTATTTGGCAGTATTCTGGGATAACAGATAATAATGAGATGGAGGTAGAGAGGAGACAACATATGACAGCCTGTGAACAAGTCTCTGTGAGCATCTGATATGTGCCCACTTGGAGCTTACTCTACTTTGATCGTTTGGATATTGTATTTCGGTCTGTAATACGAGACTGAGAAATAATATATCGAGTTCCACCCCCACTGCTATATTGATTCTCTCGCTGTCTCAAGTCTTGTTGTATCTGATAGGTGGTATTTTTAGCTCCGTCCCTTCTTCTTTGGAGTTACCACAGCCTCTCTGCAAGCTCTTTACCTTGGCCAGTTTCTATGATGGTTTGATCTAGTTGCCTAGGAACCATCCAACTTGCTGTGCTGTCATACAGTGGCATGGTGGGATGGTGTAACTTGACTGGTCTGATCAAGAAGATAGACGAGCTGTAAGTGGCTTAGGGCACGGACATGGCTGGCCTATTAATACATCTAAGCTCTGTTTACACACACGGACACAGGCACGCACACACACGGACACAGGCACGCACACACACAGACACCACTATGTCGGACCCCAGCTGCCGGCCTTGAGCCTCGAATGCCTCACGCATACTTAGGCACAGATAGTGACATACACTCTTTTTAATGGACTCATGCAGATTTCTGCTCATGCATCACTAGGCATTAACTGCAGGCACTTATCAACCAGTGCATGAAGTGATGCCACTTAGTCATCTCTAAGGTTGGTTGCATTCTGTTTTTGAGTATCTCATTAATGAGCTATTCTATGTATCTCAGTGGGTTCAGGTTCAGTGTGGGCCAGAGGTACGATTTCCCTCAGTGCTAAAAAATACACAAAACAATGTAAACACTTTCATTTCATCAAAATGCTAAATGTTTTTCCCACTCCCTCCACCATTACCTACGTAGACAGTTTTGGTTTTATTATATTTTGCTTTTAATTTTTTTTATAAATTTAAAGCGGTAGTCCTGCAATTTATTATTGAATTACATAAAGTTTTTATTTGGTGGGGGAAAAAAAGAATGTTCAAAATCAAAGCAGCAGAGATAACCTGGCCCTTTTGTCTCTAGTTTGTTTCAATCTCCAAACACACTGGATACTACATATTTCACTGCAACTCACTTGCGTCTTTCATTAGACACAACCTGCCTCCTAAATTACAACTTATTCACTCAACTTCAAATTCTTCGGTTTACAACCAAATACCTGCAAAACTAATGACATCAACCCGGACCTGTGCGTTCAAATGTTAGCATGCTAACTAAGATGGCGGCTTGTTAGCATTGTCATTGTTTTTTGTCCACCCATTTTATATATGGAACTTACACTGTGGCATGTTTTCATACTAATTAAATGGTGTGCGTTAAATAGAGGTTATATGTAGGAGAAGAGTGTGGATGAACCACTTGTTCACTATCTGCAGTGCAGCTCTCACTTCTCAAACCGCATTGTTGGCCTGTTCTTCTCCTTGTTGGCAAGGCTGAAGAGCTTTTAATATCCTTTTATATTCCTCTTCTGTTTTTCTCTGCAGCCCCCTTCCTCTCTCTGTCTCCCATTTTATTTTCACTTTCTCTCTCCACCCATTACTGTTTCTGCGTCTCTCTGTCTATCTGC